TCCCAAGCCATATGGTACCTGCAATCACTAAAGCATTTGAATTCTCTGCTTCTAATGCCAAGAGAGAGACGGACAAAATGATAACAGAGGGAGGGAGAGGTGCCAAGATAGAGTTGTAATTTTTTTCTTGGGATTTTTGGAAGGAAACAGATATGAAGCATTCATTTTCCGTGGCAAGCTATAGATTGGTGATTAAGGAATACTCATATAATTTGGTTGTAAGTGGTAAAATATTTCTGTACACAGGTGTTCTTGTCTACATTCCAGGTTTCACAGAAGCCTTGTGCTGGGCTTCGTCCTTCAAAGCAGGAATAGGATAGAATTTAGATATATGGAGAAAGTGCATTTCCTGCCATTTGTGTGGATCTAAGAGCCCTGTTGTAGCACTGTGGGTTAATGCGCTGTGCTGCAAAGGCAGCTTGAACCGCAATGTCAGTGGTTCAAGCTTACCAGCCGCTCCTTGGAAACCCTATACAGGGTCGCAATGGATTCAAATAGACCTGACAGCACTTAACAACAACAGTAACGATTAGTTGTTTGGTCCTGACTCACATTTGCTTGTTTCTAAGTCTAGATGTTCTATGTTGCCTATCATCTCTTACCAGACTTAGTCTAAAAGCTTATCATTTTCCCAACATTCAGTATTCTCATTTGCATCTTTGCTCTTATCCATCATTATTTCTTATCTTCTTCCTGGATTATTGCCTCAGACTTCTTTTTCTCTTCTTGGTCCGCTTCCAGTACATACCTTACCCAACAGCCAAAGTCATCTTTCTTAAATAGAAATATCATTGTATAAGTCTCCGATTAAAATCCTTTAATGGCTTTCTGTTTTCACTGTGAGCTTTGAATTCCTAATGATAATTTTAATAAGATCTGTTACTATTTGGGGAGTCCTTGTGTGGCACTGTAGGATAGTCATTGGACTGCTAACCCCAAGGTTGGTAGTTCAAACCTATGAGCCAGTCCTCAGAAACCCTGTACAGGGTCACTATGAGTCAAAAAGGTTGTATTCTTTCACCATACTTATTCAACCTGTATGCTGAGCAAATAATCTGAGAAACTGGGTTCTATGAAGAAAAACGTGGCATTAGGATTGGAGGAAGACTCATTAACAACCTGCGATATGCAGATGATACAACCTTGATTGCTGAAAGTAAAGAGGACTTAAAACATTTACTGATGAAGATCAAAGAGCACAGCCTTCAGTATGGATTACATCTCAATGTCAAGAAAACAAAAATCCTCACCACTGGACCAATAAACAACATTTTTATCAACAGAGCAAAGATTGAAGTTGTCAAGGACTTCATTCTTCTTGGATCAACTATCAACACTCATGGAAGCAGCAGTCAAGAAATCAAATGACTTATTGACAGATCTGCTGCACAAGACCTTTTGAAAGTGTTGAAGAGAAAAGATGTCAGCTTGAGAACTAAGGTGCGCCCGACCCAAGCCATGGTATTTTCAATAACCTCGTATGGATGCGAAAGCTGGACAGTGAATAAGGAGGATCGTAGAAGAATTGATGCCTTTGAGTTGTGGTGTTGGAGGAGAGTACTGAGAGTGCCATGGACTGCCAAAAGAACCAATAGATCTGTTTTGGAAGAAGTGCAGCCAGAGTGCTCCTTAGAGGCCAAGGTGGCTAAACTTCGTCTCTCCTACTTTGAACATATTGTCAGGAGGGAACAGTCGTTAGAGAAGGATGTCATGCTGGGTAAGATGGAGGGTCAGAGAAAAAGAGGAAGACCCCCAACGAGATGGATTGTCCAGGTGGCAGCATCGATGGACTCAAGTGTGGCAACAGTAGTGAGATTGGCCCAGGATCGGACATTGTTTCGTTCTGCTGTGCATAGGGTCGCTATGAGTTGGTGCCAACTCGATGGCACCTGACAACAACAACATGAGTCAAAACCAGCTCGATAGTACTTAAAAACAACAACAACAACAACATTATTATCTGGATTCTAGTAACTGGTTTGGAATCCCTGAGTGCTGTAAAAGGTTAATGTGCTCTACTACTAACAAAGATTGGGGAGCTTCCAGTGTACTTCGAGGTGCCTCTGAAGAAAGACCTGATGATATACTTCTGAAAATGTTTGTTGTTAGTTGCCATTGAATTGCTACCAACTCACAGCGACTCTGTGCACAACAGAATGAAACACTGCCCAGTCCAGAGCCAAACTCACAATTGTTTTTAAGCCTGAGCCCATCGCTGCCACCACTGTGCCAGCCCATCACACTGGGGGTCTTCCTCTTTTCCTCTTACCTTTTATCCTTCTCCAGTCACTGGTCCCTCCTGTTAATATGTCCAGAGTATGAGAGACGAAGTTTAACCATCCTGGCTTCCAAGCAGCACTCGGGTGTACTTCTTACAACACAGATTGGCTTGTTCTTTTGGCAGTCCAGTGTACATTTGATATTCTCCTCCAACACCGTAATTCAGATGCATCAGTTCTTCTACTGTCTTCCTTATTCACTGTCCAACTTTTGCATGCATATGAGGTTATTGAAAATACCATAGCTTGGGTCAGGCTCACCTTAGTCTTCAAACTGACATCTTTGCTCTTCAGCACTTTAAAAGGACACTTTAAAAGGTCTTGTGCAGCAGGTTTGCTTAATGCAGTGAATACTTTGAGATTTCTTGACTTCTGCTTCCGTGCAGTGTTGATGGTTGATCCCAGCAAAATGAGTCCTTGACAACTTCAGCTTTTCTCTATTGGTATGGATGTTGTTTATTGGTCTAGTGGTGAGGATGTTTGTTTTCTTGACATTGAGATGCAACCTACATGGAAGCTGTGGTCTTTGATCTTTTTCAATAAATATTTTAGGTCCTCTTCACTTTCAGCAAACAAAGCTGTATTGGAGTCCTGGTGTGACGCTGTGTGTTAATG